TAACTTATTAAGTTTTTTATCTTGTAATTCAGTCATTTCTATTATCCCCCTCTCCTAATTACATTATATCACTACCCGCCCCAATTAGCTTGGCTACTTGCGGCTAGTGAAAATTCATGTAAATATATCTGTAACTAAAAATAAATATGTGTATGTGTGTAATTTAGCAACGGACCCTTGAAAATATATATATTTCGTTTTTTTATAAATGCAAAGCTGGTTATTATGACCTAACACTTGAAGACTATATTCTGGACAATTCTACTAATCATCACACTCGCTTTAGCTCTACTGATTCATACCGACCAAACCGTTGCAGAACATATTCTTTCCGAAACCTATTTTTCAATAGGATAGTGCCACTTTGGAACAGCCTGTCAGGAGAAATAAAATCCTCTCTCTCTATTCAGTCACTGAAACTTAAACTCTATAATCACTATACACTCAAAAAATTAATGCAGGTTTTGATGTTAATAGGCCAAGGATTTGGAAAACGTTTTGCTCTAAATGTCGTCCTTGTTTTATGTCTTGTTGTTCGTAGAAGTGCATGTTCTGAGTTTTTGTACGAATGTAATTATGTGTAATACCGTAAATATGTAACTAGCTATGTATTTTGTTAATTTTATAACCGTTTATAGTATAGCATAGTATAGCATAGTATTTTCATGTATCGCAGGACTTAATTTGGGACTTTATTAGTCCTGTTGTCTGTGCCTTCAATTTCTTATTGTAAAACTAATAAAAAAAAAATAAAAAATCACCTGTAATTCACTGAAGGGCTTACCGTTGTAAAATAAGATTAAATAATAAACTAATAATAATAATTCAAAGGTAAAGAGAAAAACCTGACCACGAGTATGACTATATCAGGTTAAGCCCCGAACAGACAAGAACAAGAGTTGACTCAGTCATATAGGGGGAATTCCAATTAAGGTCAAGGCCAGAAATAATTGACACTCAATCTCGTTCCCAGAGTATGCCTGTTCGCAGGGTCGCCGGAAGGATGTGAAGGCAAGGGGGGCAGAGTTTCGTGAAATGGCACTTTTGAATTGATATGTACAAAGAGATGTTTGCAAAACATCGGGAGTTGAACTTCGCCTAACCATGTTTTCTAATTATTGGATGATAGGGGTGTAAGGGGGTTCTCCGCCAGGCGATTGTGCTATTCTTGAAGAAGCTCCATGACTGCATTTCTTGCGTTTTCTGAAGCAAATTCGTAAAAGAATTGCACTAACATTTCTGACAATTCGCTATTTCGCCAGGGCAATCCTTTAGATTGAAAGGGCACCTTTGCTCCCCTTGCCCCTCCTGGTAAAGGGCAACGGGGGTGGCTGCCCCTCCTGCTCCCCCATTCCGGCGTCCCTGCCTGTTCGCGGGTTATGTAGTGGCATGTCACTATACAAGCGTGCACTTAATATACAATATTGCGGTTGTGTTAAGGTCAATAGGTTAGGTTTACGTTTGAGCGAGCTCCGCTTAAATATAATAAATTTCAGTTAATTTTTCGGCTATAAAAATAAGCTTTATATTTTATTAAAGCTAAGGATTTTGTGCATCCTCTCATCGTATTTTGGAATTGGATTTGTATCGTGGTGTTAAGTTATTTTGGTTTGGTTTGGTTTGCTGGATCGTATTACTATCGTATTAATATAGCACTACAACTGAAAATTTTGGTCTATGAACAATATCTTTGTCGTCGTTTGTCCTTTTCGGCCGAATCTTGCTGTGTGATCTACGAATCGTTTTGTGGTTATTTTGTGTAATTTTGGTGTTATTTAAATGTACTGTTCATGAATTTTTCAATTACTTATTTTTGACCATTGGAATTTTTGAAATTTAAATCCCGTCTGGCGTCGCTCTCCTTGGCAACAACTGTCTTATGTAATGGAGTTTCAATAAAGTTTTTGGGTATCTCTTTTTTCTTGTTTTAACTTTCTGGTTATCAAACAAACTCTGGCGTGATAGTTATGCGTGTGCGGTCGCGCGCCGCCTACATATTTGAGGTGAAATTGCACAAGATTGCGGATAAGTGATACAGCTACCTGGAAAACGTAAAGAGCTGCTGACTATGAATAGTTTGACTTGCTTTTGGACAATTATTTGTTTGGTGGCTGCAATTTTTGTTGATTGATTTGTAAAGTCTATTAGAACTTGGTTTAATTGATTACTTCTTTAATTATGCAACCCAGCCTATAATCATCATTCAAATGAATAAATTCCTGATTCCGTTCGTCCTTTTGAACATTTTTCTTGTTTACCTGTTGACTGTGTCTGTGGAAGTGGGTCCAATAATCGATGATTCTTGCAAAGAACCGTTACCGAAGGACTTTTACGGGACTATGAGGGATTAGCATTGTATCATAAACAATCGGAAACGCTTTGCTTTTTTATCCAAAGTAAATATTTGAATCGTAGAATTCACTATTATTCAAACTGCCAAACTACTTTCAATCCTACTGTTTTGTCCTCGCATTTGTTGATGTGTGGAGACATTCATCCCAATCCAGGACCAACAATGACTAACATTAATTCAACTAGCAGTGGTAACTTCGGTTCGCGTAAACAGAATACTGAACAAAAACATTCCAGCTTGTTTTGCATGTACATGAATGCAAGGAGTTTGAAAAAGACCTTCCTTACGCAGGAGAATCGTCATATTTCCAATTTGTTCAAGTTTCAAGAGCTGGTTTACTCACAATCGATTGATGTAATGTTCGTGACTGAAACTTGGCTCAACAGCAATATATCTGATAGAGAAATCTTACCAATTGGGTATGACATTTACAGAACTGACAGATCACTGGGACGTTCTGGGGGAGGTGTACTTATTGCAATTAAACAAGATACTTTCATAAATTGCAATCAAATTTCGTCTGTTTCTATGAAAAACTTAGAGGCTGTTGCTATTGAGTGTACATTACCTAACCTCACGAAATAGCTTGTTGTATGTTGTTACAGACCTCCCGATAGTAATGATATGTCTGATTTCCGTTCCTTTGCTGATAAGTTATTTCCTGTCTACGACAAGATCCTTATCGCCGGTGACTTTAACCTACCGACTATTTCTTGGACAGATTCTAACTATACCGCAGCAGGTTAATTGAATCAGAACTTCTGTGATGTATTAGACAACTACTTCATGTCCCAACTTTGTTTGGTTCCCACTAGAGAGTCGAACATTCTGGATTTGCTAATTACCAACCAACCAAAACACATAACATTAACGGCCGTCCACCCTCCAGCTGAGTTAGGAATGAATTCTGATCATAATATCATACACTTCCAAATCTCTACCTCATCAAATATTGTCCCCCCAAACAAACGTTTGATCTACGATTACAGACAAGCAAACTTTGACGGTTTACGAAAAAAACTAAATGATATGGACCTTTGCACTCTGTTAACAAACAATGGGACGGAATGCAGTATTGATGGCGACTGGTTCACCTGGAAGAAAGCTATGTTTTCAGCTATGAATGAATTTATCCCCACCAAACACGTAGACCCCTATCGCACACCTCCTTGGATAACATCAACCATACTACATCAAATTCGTAAAAAGGTAACTGCCCGAAAGAGATTTCTAAGCCGAGGGACTGAATATCTCAAGGCGAAATTCAACCAGCTAAGAACTGACGTTAAAAAATTAATTAAAGAAAGTAGAAAGTTGTTTTTCTCATCCTTAGGAAACACCCTACGAATCAATCCAAAACGTTTCTGGTCTGTCTTTAAAATCAACTCAAACACCGGAACTATCCGTAAGTCAGTCTCAAAGACAAATCCCAACATTCCGGAGACTAGATTACATGCAAACACGCCTTGCGATATTGCAACACTGTTCAATGAATATTTCCATTCTGTCTACACCAACTTCTCGGGACAATCTTCATCACCACGGCCTGATTTTTCACCTCCACTATCCAGTATATCATCCATTGTCCTCTCTCTAGAAGAAGTATACCTAGCCTTACAGAACTTAGATCCCTTCAAGGCTCATGGTCCTGATGGTTTTCCTTCTCGTGTTTTAAAGGAATGTGCATTCCAACTTGCTCCTTCTCTACACTACCTGTTCACAAAGTCCCTCCGCTTATCACAGATTCCTACCGAATGGAAGTTAGCCAACATCATCCCTCTACACAAAAAAGGTGTAAAAGAACAAGTGGAAAATTACCGACCCATTTCTTTGTTAAGCATTGTCAGCAAGACTCTTGAACGCTGTGTCCTAAACCACCTATTTCTACGCATACAGGAAAGCGTTCACTCAGCACAATATGGATTCATTAGTGGAAGGTCTAGCACATCTCAATTACTATTGACATTACACAAAATAGGGAAGGACTTAGATAAAGGACTACAAACTGACGTTGTCTTCATGGACATTTCCAAGGCTTTTGATACCGTTGACCACTCCAAACTGTTACAAAAACTTCGCGATTTCGGTCTATCAGGCTCTCTCTTGTTGTGGTTTGAAAACTATCTGTCAGGTCGCTGTCAACGGGTAACTGTTCACGGCGCGACATCTACTCCCTTACCAATAACATCCGGAGTCCCACAAGGTTCATTGCTGGCTCCCTTCCTCTTCTCGGTGTACATTAACGATTTGCCCGATAACATATCCATTTCTACTGGGGTCGGTTTGTATGCTGATGATACCAAACTGCACAGATGTGTGCAAAATCGTAACGATGCATTGGCATTGCAATCGGATATTCAAAGCCTCCATTGTTGGTCAAATGAGAACCTGTTGAGCTTTAACAAATCGAAGTGTAAAGTGTTGTCTATCACGAGAAGGACGTCTCCCTTAATTTACCCATATGCACTTGGTGATCACCAACTATTGTCGTCTGATGTAGAGTCTGATCTGGGCATTACGATCAGTTCTAGACTATTATGGAATGTTCAGATCAACAAAGTTCAGTCAAAAGCCAACAAAACGCTCGGGTTAATTCGACGTTCCACCATGGAGATAACGGATATGAACGCGAGAAGGCTTCTGTATCTTCAACTTGTGTGAAGTAACTTCTCCTATGCAACCTAAGCCTGGTGTCCTCAGTCAGTGAAACTTATCGAGGATGTTGAGAAAGTGCAGAGACGAGCAACTAAATACATATTAAATCTTGGGTTTATCACAAACATTTCTTACAAGACAAGACTCCTTCAGCTTGACATATTACCTGTCTCATATTGGCACGAATACTTGGATCTGGTGTTCCTCTACAAGATCATCAATAATCTTACATACATTGACGAACGTGCTCTACCGATCATGGCTGGATCAGGAATTACAAGAAGTGAATCAAACGCAAACCTGATTAGATTTGTTATTCCTTATACGAAAACCGTAACATTCCAGACCTCATTTTTTATAAGAACTTGCAAAACGTGGAACATATTAAATAGTAACTTGCGTACTAGAGATATAGGTTTGCTATCTTTTAAATCAGGTCTTAAACTCTACTACAAACATGCACTATCCAAAACTTTCAAATGTTTCGATCCGCACACCTGGAAATCAGTGTGTGTAAAGTGCAAAAGAGCAAGATCGCTTAACAATGTAATAAGTTGTAGTTAGTCCTATATTATTGAACATGGACAGTATAGATTTCCGTTATTAGCCTTATTAGTTTTAGCTTGTTAAGTTGCTTGAAAATTTGTGTTGTGTTTGTTTTGTACAGTAATTTAATTCTTGTTTATATGGGATCGCCGTAATTGGGGAAACCTGTGGCGAATTCCCTGGCTCTATATGTTGTATTTAAATAGTAGCCGAATCTTATTAAATCAATCTTTCACGACATGGTCTACTTTCCATGCAGACACCGTTGAAAATATAAGAAATCAATTTAATTAATTAATAAATAATGGTTATAGTAAACCACTAACCAAATGTCCAAGACGCATGTAGAGGTCCTATGGCTATTACCTATCCCAAAATTAAAATATCGTACCTCATAAACTCACGAGACTAGTTTTTCTATTTGTTCTATGATATAATAAGCAGACGATATTACAGTGGCGGAAATCTTGGTGGGGCAGGGGGGCGACTGCCCCCCCCCCCCCTTATGGAAAATGACAAATTGCAGAAAAAGTGAATTTCTGCCACTGCGATATTACATAGCAAACAATTTTACTCAAACTATCGACGTTGAAGTTCTCTTATCATGTACTCAGTGACATCACATGCATGCTTTTACTGTCGGCCTGTGAACCCTGTCACAGAATAAAGACACAGAAGGTTGACACAGCCAAAAGAGCGTAATGCTGCCACGCCATGATTCGTCGTCAAAATACTGACTCCATGGTCCTAGTAAATGCCTCAGCTCATAAGCGCATGCCTCCCAGCATTTTGATTTCGTATTTTAAAAGCTCTATATTTTCAGGCCTTAAAATATCTTTTACAGGGCCGTCTGACAAAATGTCCGATGACGTTGAGAGTTTGGGTCGGACATATGTCCGATGACCTTCAGTTCAGTTTGACTCGGAAATAAGTCTGAATGACACAAATGAATATCAGCACAATGTATTAATTCTGAACGGTAAATGTTGTTAAGATATTAAATAATTTGTCTCATATCATTCATACTTATTTCCAAGCCAAAATTAACTTGCTTGCAAGAACAGCAGTAAGACTTCGACAACTTAAGCCTGTTTTCCACTTCACCATTTCGTTCGCATTTCGCCGCCCCGTGCTCGATTAGCTACGTTAAAAAATTTCCAGTTCACTTTTTATACAATACTCAATAGTCCTCCCTCTGATTTTCCATTTGACATACGAGCCTTACTCCTGATTGATTTACGTTGGACAAAGCTACAGTTTGGTCGGACACCAACACACTCCAGTCGGACAAACAGTAAACCTAAGTTTCACTTACGTCAGACAGAATGTCCGGTGGCTTTCTCTCTACGTCGGACAATTTCACGAATGGGTCGGACAATGTCCGTGACCGACCGATATTTTAAGGCCTGATATTTTTGCTTATATTTTTGGCTAAAAAGCATAGATGAAGCCGAAAGAAAAGTAATGATAGTACATAATTAAAATTACTAATTATACTCAGATAGTAGGCCACGTAATACGAGAACTGAAAAATTTAATAGCGCGTGTTTTTGCAGAATTATAATATAATTAAAGAATTATAATATAACATACATTTTGATTGGCTAATGCGCGTGCATTGTGACACAATAATGCACTGTGGTTCATTGCTGATCCTAATTTTTTGCAAAGACTAAGGTTTGCCCTCGCCCTCTCTGGGTGGCCTTAGGCTAAATAATCCATGCAATGCTACCCAAAATGTTGTTCTGCCTAAAATACTGAACCTATATATAGAGAAATATACAGAAAAATTACCTTCGCTGGAAGCAAATTCTTTTTGAAACATATTCCAACTATTCTTCATTCTTTGTTTCCTCGGAATACGATTGCAAGTACCGTTGTTATTGGCTAATGTTTTGTCCTTTGACTTGTACAGCATTTTGGTAATCCAATTCTGTGTAAATGTTTAATAAATAAATAAATCATAACGTCCTAATGATAGCAAATTAACTTGCGTCGCTCACATTTAGTTGAATACTTTTAATTTCGCACGGACCAGAAAACAGAAAAGGCCTGACGTTTATCCCAAAATACTGAAAGGCAAGAATTTTAGAGACACGTAATGTACCATGCTAATGAAGGGTTTATGCAGTACAAAAAGACCATATAAATAAAAACACGATTAATTAAATTAAGAAACCTTCAGGCGGCTTCGAAATACTAAAGTGTTGAAAATCATTCTGATGGCATGCCATGCAACAACGATAATATGCACTTGTTAATAAATTTAAAAATATGCATATAATAATTATTACCTCAATTTGCCTTTCTGTCAAGCCTGTTTCAGCAGCAGCAGCAGCAGCAGCAGCAGCAGCAGCAGCAGCATTTATTCGAGTTGAGTATTTCCTCCCTACTCCCACCATGCCATTTCTAAAATAGGTGAGTAAGGTCGATTTTTGCACATCACTGAAAGGCATAGTTTCAAAAAAACGAACTCCAACCAAAATTCTATCCGACTATAAAATATTGACCAATGTAAAACTAAAAAACAGAACTACTCAATTTAATTTGAAATTTGGAAAATACTGTGCAGCGTGCCTTAATTTATAGTACAGCTACTGCGTGACGTACACTATCAAACAATCAGTACTTATGCAACATGATGTGTGCGACACCTTTCCTAATTAGCACATACCGCTATGTGACGCATTTCACTAAAGCGTGCGAGTCCACCTCTTACTACAAAAATGGCACAAAATTGTAATTAGATCCAATAGAGAACGAAGAACTAAATAAGTACTGCATCACTCAAAATGTGTGCTAGCTATTCTGTCAAATAGCGTGACATACCCGAAACTGTAAAATTATTTGATGGAGAATGTTCTTTCTGATTATACGCTATTTCAGATTGGAATGTGATTCCAATCTTGCGTCATTTATACTAACTCAGATTAGAATCTAATTCCAATCTCGCGCCATTTATACTAATTTCAATATGAACCTTATTTCCATACGACGACATTTGTGCTAGTTGGATTTCACTTGGAACTCAATTCCTTGTATGTGAACGTTTTTCTTCATGGAATTCAAATTATTTCTCACATTTCTTATATCTGTTTCAAATTCGTATTCCTCTACAATACCTATATTCGTTGAATATAGTGTACAACTGACAAAGTTTCTATAGTACAACAAAACGTGTGATTTATGCAAAAAATGCGTGTGTACATGGAAGTGACTATTTCAGACTATGTATAATCATTCACACTTAAAGCATGTGCTTGCATGTTTGATTTTGTCCTCGCGCTAATAAATGCTAATTTTGGAAAATGTGTTATTTCCCCTAGGGAGTGCGAAGACACATGCAAACTAAATCTGTACTGCCGATTCTAAGACAATGCATCACGCAAAATGTATGCTAGCAATTCTATCAGAAAGCGTGAAAAGCCCGAAATTGTAAAATTATTATAGAGAATGACCATACTGATTATGCTATTTCAGATTAGAATGTGATTCCAATCTTGCGCCATTTATACTAACTCAGATTGGAATCTAATTCCAATCTCGTGTCATTTATACTAACTCAGATTGGAATCTAATTCCAATCTCGCATCATTTATACTAACTTAGATTGGAATCTAATTCCAATCTTGCGCCATTTATACTAATTTCAATATGAAACTTATTTCCATACGACAACATTTGTGCTAGTTGGATTTCACTTGGAATTCAATTCCTTGTATGTGAACGTTTTTTTCTTCATGGAATTCAAATTATTTCTCACATTTCTTATATCTGTTTTCAAACTGATTTGTATTCCTCTACAGTATAGCTATATTCGTTGAATATAGTGTACAACTGTCATGGAATTAAATAAGTAAGTCTTCTTTGCACAAAGTTTCTGTAGTACACCAAAACGCATGGTTTTATGTAAAAAGTTAAATGCGTGTGTACAAGCGACTATTTTGACTACAATATAATCAATCACATATAAAGCGTGCGCTTGCATGTTTGATTTTGTTGTCGCGCTAATATACATGCTAATTTTGGAAATGTGTTATTTCGCCTAGGGAGTACGAAGATGTATGCAACCTAAATCTGTACTGCAGATTCTAAAACAATGCATCAGGCAAACTGTGTGCTAGCAAGTCAGAAAGCGTGAAAAGCCCGAAATTGTAATGAGAGAATCACCATGCTGACTACCCTATTTCAAGTTGGAATGTAATTCCAATCTCGCGCTATTTATACTAATTTCAATATGACCCTTATTTCCATACGACTACATTTGTGGTACTTGGGTTTTGAAACTCAAGTCCTTGTATGTGAACGTTTTTCTTCACTGATGGAATTCAAATTATTTCTCATATTTCTTATATCTGTTTTCAAATTTGTATTCCTCTACAATAGCTATATTCGCTGAATATAGTGTACAACTGACAAATATCCTATATAATAGTACAACAAAACGTGTGATTTATGCAAAAAGTTAAATGCGTGTGTACATGAAAGTGACTATTTCGGACTACAATATAATCAATCACATATGAAAGTGTGCTCTTGCATGTTTAATTTTGTCGTGGCGCTAATATATGCTAATTTTGGAAAATGTGTTATTTCCCCTAGGGAGTGCGAAGATGCATGTAAACTAAATCTGTACTGCAGATTCTATTAAAGACAATGCATCACACAAAATGTGTGCAAGCAGTTCTGTCCGAAAGCGTGAAAAGCACGAAATTGTAAAATTATTATAGAGAATCACCATACTGATTATGCTATTTCAGATTGGAATGTGATTCCAATCTCGTGCCATTTATACTAACTCAGATTGGAATGTAGTTCCAATCTCGCACCATATATACTAACTTAGATTGGCATCTAATTCCAATCACGCTTCATTGATACCAACTCAGATTGGATTGGAATGTGATT